AATAATAATAATAATAATAATAATAGTCTCTACTTTGATATTTTTCTATGTGATTTTTTTTTAAATTGCTGTTGCTACTTATTTCACTAATTCTATACTTTACAATTGTCATTTCTATCATGCACAATTTTCCATTTTTGTGTGGTTCTATTCTGGTTTCTCTCTACCCTTCTACTTTTCTCCCTTTCTGTTTATGCCCCCAAGTTTACTGTTTCAGTGATAGCAGTTTAAAATAAGTAAATATTTGGTACGACAAGTTCCCTACCCTGAATATACTGTCTTATTGTCTTGGACATTTTTACCTTTTGCTATTTCTTATTAATTCTTTTTTTTTTTTTTTTTTTTTTTTTTTTTTTTTTTTTTTTGAGACGGAGTTTCGCTCTTGTTGCCCAGGCTGGACTGCAATGGCGCGATCTCGGCTCACCGCAACCTCCGCCTCCTGGGCTCAGGCAATTCTCCTGCCTCAGCCTCCTAAGTAGCTGGGATTACAGGCACGTGCCACCACGCCCAGCTAGTTTTTTGTATTTTTAGTAGAGACGGGGTTTCACCATGTTGACCAGAATGGTCTTGATCTCTCGACCTCGTGATCCACCCGCCTCGGCCTCCCAAAGTGCTGGGATTACAGGCTTGAGCCACCGCGCCCGGCCATTTCTTATTAATTCTTACACTTACCTTTAACCTTTAAAATGTCATTCTCTCTGTCTCTCTTCTCTCTGCCTCTTCCCCCTCCCTGTCTTTCTTCCTCTTAAACACACACACACACATACACACACACACACACACACACACATGCACGCACACATACAGAGTCACAAAGTTTCCATCTGATAGCTTTTATAATAAAGATACATAACAATCTGGATGAAATGTTCACTTTACAAAATAGAAATATTCCATTCATAAACATGGTGTACACCACCAATTATTTAGGTCTTGTTTTATGATTCCCAATGATTTTTCTATATCAAGAGCGTTTTTTTCTTCTTTTCTTTTTAATAGACAGTGCCTTACTAAATTGCCTAGGCTGGACTTGAACTTGTGGCCTCAAGTGGCATTCCCACCTTAGTCTCCAAAGTAGTAGCTATAATCACAAATGTGAGCTGCTGCACCTAGCTACACCCAATTTTGAATATGTTTCATTTGAATCATTCTCGGGTACCTTTAGTTATTATTGTTATTGCAAACAGTGATTTTTCTATAATTCCATTTTTAACAGTTCACTGAAATTTTATTCCATTTGTCTATTCTACCACCCTGAGACATAATTAGCTTTCCCTTGCGATATCAAGACTTCTAGAATTCCAGATATTAGAGCCAAGTATATCAACATCTGGTCAATGAGGAGGGCCTTTTCTCCTACCAGTCACTTTTAATTACAGACGGCACTTTTTTCTAGAACATCACAACTGACTTGCTTTTGGGTTTCTTGACTAAGGTCAGGTCACATGCTAATTATGCCCAGTTTTCAGACTCTATACTAGAAGGTGATCTCTGTTCACTGAGACAGGGTGGTGGTTATAAATGCTGGAAAACAGTAAACAAATTTGAGTGAATGTTACAGCTTTCTATTTGAGAAAGGTCACTCAGATAGGAGATGATGATGGTAGCAGCAGCCTATCTGGATCAGCTGCTGTGAGGATGTCAGCTGCAGTTGGGGAGCATAGCTGAGGCTTTGTCCTCTGTGGAGCCAGTAGGGTCTAGTAACAGGCAGGAACTCCACCACCTACTGAGTTGGTAGGGCAAGAGCCCCACATTTCTGGACACAGCTGCAGCCATCCAGCTGCAGCTCTGGACCAGGGCATTCTTGCACTCCTGGGAGTCTGGGAAACTCCCTGCCCCTGCAGGCTCACAAGTGCCTGTTCCTGCTCCCTGACCTCTCCCCACTCCTGGTGTCCACTTCAGTTTCGAAGCAAAGTTGAAGCTGAGCCCATGCACTATTGTGATCTTGTGGGTGTGTATGCCTTAAAATACAGTGCCTCACTGTAAGAGTCAGAAAAAGCTAGAAAGATGACAAGTTGAAAAGATGCTCTCATATCCCTGTGATGGGCTGATTTCTGAATCTGTGTTACTTTCCTATACAATTCACTGACCTATTTTCCATTTGTTTCTTAACTTGGTTTTAACTTTGGCCTATTATTCTAAAGTTGGCTTTCAGAATCCAATCTCTATTACAGTTATTCATTCTTTACTCAAATACAGTTTTAAGACCCAGCCTTTGCCTAGCACACAATGGAAATGTTGACTGTAATTCCCCCTTGATGTATTTCTCATGTTTTATTATCTGGTGAAGAATAGCGGCATGCACCTTTGTTTTATTCCTCATGAATAAAAATATCAATAAGGATATGTCAGTTTGAGCATAATACATATTTTATAAGACATGGATTTGTCCTGTGATCATAGACTATATATATATATATATATAGATTACATATATATATATAATCAAAGTTATACAACAATGAATTATTCTTCTTCTTCAATAATTTATCTGAGTAAATTCTTTACAATGGGATCCTTTAACACTGTATGTCACAAATAAAGCTTGGGTCTTCTCATAAGAAATTTAAAAAATGATTAAATGAATTAGATGTTACTTGGACTCATAGTTTCTAACCTTCAGTCTCACTTGGACTTCTGAGAATGCAACTAACTCCCTCAAACTAGTGACATACAGGAGAACGCAGGTGGCAATATTACAGTACAACATTAACATTCCAATACACAAACCTGAAAGAGATTCTATAATACTGTTGTGTCTCCATTAAGATAACATATTGCACACTAACAGACGTTGAAAAATCCAGCAAATCAAGAAAACGCAAAATTGTTGAATAGCAGGTGATTGGAGTGTTAGATGCCAATGAGATCCATGTATTTTGCTAACTGTTCTAAACACATTTCTTCTATGTAGAGGAAGCAATACAATGCTTATTGCTTCTCTTCTGTGACTGCTTTGTTTCACACTTTCAAAAGAAAAGTCTTTTTAACCATAATTTATAATGCATTATGCAATTTGCTGGTACAGTGAATATGCAGAAAGCATTTGTTTAATTTAGAATTTAAGAACTACTGAGTATGGTGAAATTCATTTGGCAAAACAGAACTCCTTTACTTTGGTTGAAACTCAACATTCCACAGTCAATATTTAAGCAAGCTCTTTCAATATGTCAGTTTCACCATACATCACTTATTTTTATAAGTTGAGTTCTGTTAATGACATTTTTGATTGCCATTTATGAAGACAATCTCTTTATAACATCTTATATATCTCTCAACTTGTGTTGTGGGTATGCTGTTATATAAGTCATTTCCTTTTGTTTTTAACAGAAGATGAGCAATTCAATGATATCAATAAATGGTTGTTGGCTTTTTATATTCTTCTCTAATAAATAATGTGAGGTGTTTGTGGTGCTATGTGTCTGTGTAGGCATATTTGTATGTGTATATATATGTATATATATATATATATATATCTGAGTACAGAGGTGGTTAGAATATTAAGGTAAGTATTCCCATATATATATATATGAAATTTGTTTTAACATTTTCATATAATTTTTGAGTCATCATTAGTGGTGTTTAAAGATGACCTGCTCTTCAAGATATTTGGCCAAATACCTAAAAAAATTTCTTAGGTCTTATCTTAATTTTTTCCATCATACTAATTTGTAAGTCACAGAATGTATGTTACCACTAATAAGAAAAGAATAAAAAATATTATTTTGGCACCCATTAATAACTCGACCTAAGCATCAATACTTAGCCAGGCAGTACTAGAAACCTCAAGATCCCAAAGCATTAGCAGCAAATCAAGACTGACAGTAAGGACTGTCTCCTATTCATTCCTAAGGAAAGGCTGGGGTTCCTGCATAAATTTCCAGGGATCTTCCCATAGCCAATATTATGGAACCCTATTCACATTATAATTTCTGAACATCAACCACTTTCAGTTTCTTCATTTATGACTCTTTGCCCTTAAGAGAGCCAGTGACTAACGTCAGGCCAGGGTAACTCCACTTCTCTGAGGAAATCTGCTGTACATCCCATAGATATATTCGGTCATTTCCCACCTTTTCTGCTTCCATTTCATTGTCTGATGTTTTCCCTCTTTACTTCCATATTCACTATTTGCCAATCATCAGATATTTTACCTGAGTTATTGCACTTTATTACTATCAGGTAACTGGCAGAAATAATCGTGAATTTTTTTATCCTTTAAGCAAAGGATCCCTTATTTCTTAAGAATTTTCTTATCCTTTTTCACCTATATGCTTCGAGATATTTAGCTAATTTGATGTTGATTTACCATTCCCACCTGGTTAGTGGACATAAGTCTCTCGTTCCTGGTACATTTTACACTTTTAAGCCAAGGTTATTTGCCTTGCCCTCTGTTCTCTGAAACACTTTTCAGTTTTTATACAGATAGGGCAACACACAAACGTACATAATTTAAATAAGCCTCCCAACAACCCTAGGGAGCAGTATTGTTATACTAATTTTATAAACATAAAACCCAAGTTTAGTAACCCACCCAAAGTCAGGCAATTGACAGATAAATGGTAGAATTTTATATCTGTTTTATCTCATTCTAGTATCTAAATCTTTCCTACCAGTAAACAGTTCTTCAAGATTTGAATTAATATCCTTGACTGTTCCTTTTCTATCTTCCCAACTCTTAAAGTTTGACCTTGTTTGGCAAATTTGCATAATAGTATCTGGATGTAACATCTTTTTTTCTGAGGGATATATATTTACTTACATTTGTCTTCTGCATTTTCTATAAATATCATACTTTTTTGCTACGAGAACTGGATAATAAACACTATTATAAGGGCGCAATTTTCTTGGATTATGGCTTCTCTTATAACCTTATTTAACCTTATTTACATCTCTAAATGCCATATCTGCAAATATAGTTACATTGGGGAACTACAGTTTCAACATATGAATTTGGGAAGAGACATAATTTAGTTCATAGCAGTGGCTTTATCACTTACCTGTCTGATACCTCAGCTGGGAAGGCTGGCGCAGCTGGGAGGTTGACTGGACATTCTGTCTCCAAAAGTCTGTTCATTGTGGCTAGCTGGAGACTCAATACAGCTGGTGCTCTCACAGTAATCAGACATCCTGTACGGTGCTGGTTCTAAAGAAAACACAAGCTTCAGGTCTCTTTCATGAAAACTAGTCCAGGAACTGACAGAATGTCACTTCTGTCACATTGTATTAATCAAGGCAAGTCACAAGCCTACTCAGATTTGTGATGGAAGGGGTGGAGAAATAGGTTCCCCTTCGCCATAGGTGCAAAGGCATACACACATAGGAGAAAGAGAATTGCTGATTTCTTCCATTGGAGGCCACCACACCCCTGAGAAGAATTAATGTTCTTAATGTCAATCAACTTAGGAAAATTAATACTGGAATATGGAATAAATCTCGTCAAAGTGACACATGAAGAAGAGAAGCTTCTTTTTCTGGGCAATAGAATAAATGTATTTAAATTCTAAGCGCACTAGAGCCCTGAAACAGTTGTTAGAAAAAGATTGGATGAAATTGACTAGAAGCCCCAAGCTTAGCCAGAAGTTTTACTTTAGCCTCTTTAAAGTTTTACTTTACTCTCATTCATGGTTCTTACCCTTTCATTAAACTATGATTAAAATTATGGCTTGTCATTGGTTCTGCTGTGGGGATAGATAAAAAGGGCCTGTATTCATACTTGAGATGAAATAATGTAAAATGAACATAGTGTCCCTTGCTTAAAGCCCAAAGAGTGATTGACAGAAGACAATCCATCCAAGAAATTGCAATCAGGCATAGGTTAGCTATAATAGAGACAATAACAGGCAACATGAAGTCATAATGTATTATCTGACAAGATGCAGTAACCTCGGAAATAATATTGGTGAGTGCTTGTGTCACTGTAATTTGGATGCATGGATGACATCATATAAACCTCTGTCATAATATCCTGTCCCATTTTAAAATCACTCATGTTTCCTAGTGCATATAAAATAGAATGTAAGCATCACAGCATAACTGGCTCTATATAATTTTGAGTCCATGAATGGACATAATATTGCCCATAAACTTTTAATAGTATGCGTCTTTTCTAGTTGAGTCAGCTTTCCTAAGATTAGTAGTGGAATCCAATTTCCAACAAAAATTGAAAAAAATTGCCTTACCATCTTATTTCTCACTGCATGCCCCATCAGACTGTACATTCAGTCACATCACTTACAACTCTCTGAAAATGCTTTTTGGCCTTTTGCATTTCCATGAGTTTACCTATTGTCTTTATCTGAGCCCAAACTCTCTTACCACTTATGTATTTGTTCCCTCAGAAATTATATACTTAGAGTCTGTACAAGCCTACCTCTTCAGTGAAACATTTCCTAACACAGAGCCTTAGCTCCTGACAATTCTGCCTACTATGGAGAGTTCCTTGATGGTATATGAACTCTGTCTTTCATTCCTCTCCAAAGAAAAATAACAGTAAATATTTTTAAATGGTTGAAAGAATGATATAACTTCACACTTAGATTTTAAATATAGAACTTCTCACTGGCTCTCAATACTGTAAAATTTTGAATTTGAGGGAACTTGGCAAAACCACAAATTAATCTCCATCTGTTCTCCTTTGAGATGCATATGCATATTGTATTCCACAGAAAACCTCAGTATTACATAGGTCCTTAAAATAAATGTGCAAAGTAATCTGAATAACAATTGTTTGTGGTATATGTTTTGGTTAAATATTAAATATAAGAAACCATAGCAAATATGCTGTAAAATTGCTTCAGTTCAAAATGTCATTTAGGATCATTTTTTCCTGGACAAAGATAAATATGATTCTAATAATATTTGACTTGTGAACTGTATTTTTATTAATGCAGGTTGATTTTCTTATAAACAAAAATTAATCTGAAGAATTTCTCATCATGTAAAAAAAAGAATTGCTTGTCAGCATCTAAAAAAAGAGATATATATAATATCATCTAAAAGAACTGTTGGTTCATAATATGTTTTCTTCTTGATATGCAGCCATACAAGGGATTTTTAATGTTCGTAGTATGGTAAGTTAACTTTTCCTTTTTGATATAAAGACATGACAGAGTTTATTCTCTTTTGGAGTGTTGCTTCTGATGCAAGAAATCAAGTATGTATCAATGTATCTCTCTTTTATTTGGACAGAGTCTCATTCTGTCACCCAGGCTGGAGTGCAGTGGCAAGATCATGGCTCACTGAAGTCTTGACCATCCGGGCTCAAATGATCCTCCTGCCTCAGCCTCCCAAGTAGCTAGAACTATAGACACACACCACCATGCACAGATAATTTTTTAAACAATTTTTTTTTGTGGAGACAAGGTCTCACTATATTGTACAGGTTGCTTTTAAACTCCTAGGTCAAGCAAACTTCCTGCATCAGCCTCCCAAACTGTTGGGATTACAGGTGTTAAGTCCCCACACTTGGCTTCAATGTATCTCTCTATATGATCAAATTGCTTTTTTGCAATAATCATAAGTTGACTTAAGTTAGCTTAAGCATAAGAATAATTTTTTGAAGGAATATCAGATCTTATAGAATCAGATGGAAGGCTAGATAATTAAGTCTAGGCAATGAAGAGACTCTGCCACCACTCTCTTTGCTGTTGCCACTGCCATTCTTTATATACCAATTGGAATCATTTCAAGTCTCGAGACTTCAAGTCTCCAGTTTACCCAGCCTGGTGGAGGAGGGGCATTAGAAATATCTAGCCTCCATTTTACTTGTGAGAGGTGGGACCTAGGTAAAGAAGATTTCCCAATACATAGAAAGAATGTTGAGAAATAGATAGCCTTCACATATAACAAGTATCCACCATATGTTTTTAACACATTGGGAAATAAAACACTGGATATTTCGGCTTTTTAAAATACATAATATTTGGCAATCTCTCTATGTTAATCTGGTATAACAAGTGATAGTTGTGAGAGAGCTTATTCCTTTATTTGCACTTAAGTTGTATAATATAGATCAATGTATCATGGGAGTAAAAGAATAAAAATAATGTGCTGTTATAGTATGTGGAATCTTCATGCATATGAATCAGGCTGTTACTATAGAATACGGCTTAAAAATTAGGAATTGTCACTTAAAAGCTCATTAGAAGTAAATATTTTGTCTTAATTTTTCTGAGTTAATTGCAGAATAAGTAGAAACTTCAGAGAAGAGTGTGTCATCTGTTTGATGAAAAAGTCAAACTGCACACAATCAATCATATAGGTTGACTCTTCCTCCTAATGTGATATCAACAAAATAAACTGCAATAGGTTTATAATTCAGGATATAAAGGCATTTCTCATGGAACTGGCAAAGTCAAATAAAATCACCAAGAAGAGTGTCAAGAGGTACCAATAGGAAGGAGACTATTAAAAAGCATGAAAATACTAGCAGGGAATCCCTACTGAAGTTCCAGTGGCATAAAAATTACTAGAATGAAAAAAAAAATCAGAAAGTTACAGATAATATATGTCACCATTTGACACGGTTTGGCTGTATTCCCACCTAAATCTCATCTTGAATTAATTGTAACTCCCACAATTCCCATATGTCATGGGAGGAACCCAGTGGAAGATGATTGAATTATGGGGGCAGGTCCTTTCAGCACTGTTCTCATAATAGTGAATGAGTCTCATGAGATCTGATAGCTGGATTGAGGAGCACTGTAAGCCTCAGACCGTGCGGGAGATCTGATTGGCGTCCTGCACCAATTGGAAAACCAGCTTTACTGACCGGTTCTTGGAAACCTGCAGGACAACCAAGAGGCCCGTGAATCTCTACTTGGCCACTGAACTGCTGGGCCCATGAGATTGGACTACAACACCGCACACTGGTCAGCTGGTTTCTACTCGGTGTTTGGTTTCTCCCATCCCTGTTTTATCTTCAGCGGAGCTGGGGTGTTTTGTGAAAGTTTCTGATTAATTCTGAGAGTAAAACATGAACTAAGTCTATACTGTGAAACAAAACAAAACAAAACAAAAAAAACACGGGAGCAGCACTGTGGCCGGATTTCCTTCTACCTAAATCACAACATATGTGTTCTGCATGCATGTGAAGAAGCTCGTCAGGCCGTGAGCACTGCATAAAAATAAAGCCTTGAGAACTCAGAAGAAAAAAAAAAAAAGAAAAAAAAAGGAGTTTCCTGCACAAGCTCTCTCTTTGCCTGCTGCCATCCATGTAACATGTGATATGCTCTTTTCCTTCTGCCATGATTGTGAGGTCTCCCCAACCATGTGGAACTGTAAGCCCATTAAACCTCTTTTTCATCCCAATCTGGGGTATGTCTTCATCAGCAGTTTGAAAATGGACTAATATACCTTTTTTTTTTTTTTTTGAGACAGAGTCTTGCTCTTGTCACCGAGGCAGGAGTGCAGTGGTATGATCTTGGCTCACTGTGACCTCTGCCTCCCAGGTTCAAGTGATTCTCTTGCCTTAGCCTCCCAAGTAGCTGCAATTACAGGTGCCCACCACCATGTCCAGCTAATTTTTGCATTTTTAGTAGAGATGGAGTTTCACCACGTTGGCCAGGCTGGTCTCAAACAAGTGATCCTCCTACCTTGGCCTCCCAAAGTGCTGGGATTACAGGCATGAGCCATGGTGCCCAGCCTACCATTGACTTAGAAGTAATAGAAGTTACAAAGGGAGGCACTGGCATACTAAATACACACGACTTGAAACTGATCTATTTCAAAGTCAACATTAGGTCAAAATTAAAGGCAAAAATATGCTAAAGTATTTTCAATAGATATGAAAAGGATTAATATTTGTAATGCATAGAAAATAAATACTGATATCATTTTAAGATCCCAATATGCAAATGGGTAAAGGATATATAGGTTGATAAAAAAGTAATTGCAGTTTTTGTCATTGTAAGTAATGACAAAAGCTGCCATTACTTTTGTACCAAGTTAATAATTAGTCAAAAAAGAGAAAATAGTTAATACAAATATCATATGTATACATTCTCCAATGTTTTAGTAATGAGTTATTTTAGCAATCAAATGACATTTTATTTAATAAATGTCAAATTTTAAATGATAATGTGTATTGTTCAAAAGGTTCAATAATAACAGGGCACTTTAATTAACTCTTATAGAAGCCCAGAG